TATATTTAATCTATAATTATTATTATTAATATTTTAAATAAATAAATTTTCAATTTATTAATAATTTTATTTTACAAATAGAAATCATCTTTTTTCATCAATTCATTTTTATAAAAGCAATTATTTTTGCAGTTAATTATATAAATTCATATAATTTCTTTTTTCTTTTTATTCAATTAATTGCGATTCCATATTCTTGAGGGAAAAAAATAAATGATATAATAGATTAAATATTACGAAGAATTAGAAGAAGTAATTATTTATTTTATTATCTATATACTTTAAATTTACTATTATTAATATAAAAAGTTTTTAAACTCTTCGCTCTAGTCTCATAAGGTTATCCATATTAATTTGGGGTATATTTAATCTATTATTATTATTAATATTTTGAATACATTTAATTTTCAATTTATTAATAATTTTATTTTTCTAATAGAAATGATCTACATTCATCAATTCATTTTTATTAAAGCAATTATTTTTACAGTTATTTATTTATTTCCATTTATTTTTCAACTTTTAGTATTCATTATCGATTTTTTATTATTTGATATCTTTTATTGATTTTTTCTTCTAAAACTTCTACTTGATAAAAGCAATTCATTTGTTTTAGATTGCGATTTAGTTAAGTTAGTTATAAAATGAATTTAAAACAATAAAACTCTTTTAATTATATAGCTTTTTACTTGATTCATTTATATTTTTATTATTTATTGTGTTTGTATTTTTTTCTTCTATTTTTCTTAATTTAATTCATTTTTTTATTTTCAACTTTTGCTTTGATTATCAATTAATTCATTTTTCCTTTTAACTCATTATATATTTTTTCTTCAATATATATTTCAAAAGCAATAGTTAAATTGGTAATAAAGGTATATTAGGCTTAGGTATTGCTTTAGCAAATTGCACTAATCTCTCAAATTTGAAGCTTGATCTTACGTAAAACCAGTTTATTTGTTTTGGATTATGATATATTTTAATATAAAATGAATTTAAAACAATATAATTTTTTTAATTTGCTTAATAGCTTTTTATTTGATTTATTTTTTATTATACTTGCACTTGTGCTTTTTTTCAACCTTTGTTAATTTAACCATTTTTTATTTTCAACATTTACTTTTATTATTAATTAATTAATATCCTATTATTTTATATTTTATCATCATTTTTCATTCTAACTAGCTAATTAATCAATAAAAAACTTTTTCTTTAATATTTCAAAAGCCATAATTCAATTGGTCAGAAAGGCTCAAAACTCTTATGTATTGCTTTAGCAAATTGCATTAATCTCTCAAAGTTAATACTTGGTCTTAGGTAAAAATAGTTTAATTGATTTGGATTATGATATTTTTTAATATAAAAATGAATTTAAAACAATATAACTTTTTTAATTAGTTTATTAGATATTTATTGTATTTATTGCACTCGTGCTATTTTTCTTTTATTTATCTTTCTTAATTTAACCATTTTTATTTTTAATTTTTGCTTTTATTATTAATTAATTCTAATTATTTCAGATTTTTTGATTCTTACTAATTAACTAATAATATATTTTTTCTTCTAAATTTAAAAAGTTTGAATAGAATTGTGGATTAAGGTGCATCAGATATAGTTTCTGCTTTAGCAAAGTGTAATAAACTATCAAATTTGAAACTTGATTTTAGGTGAAAATAGCTTATTTTTTATAGATTTTTATATTCTTTAATATAAAAATAAAAAGCAAATAAATTCTTTTAACTTGTTTATTAGCTTTTTATTTTTTTTTCATTTTACTTTTATTTTTTTAAATCTTTTTTAATTTAATTCATTTTTTTATCTTCAACTTTTTCTTTTATTATGAATCAATCAATTCATTTCTTTTTATTAAAATAAATTTTTTTCTTCATTTTTCATTGTAACTAAAGAACTAATTATCTTTTCTTTTATATTTAAAAAGTTATAATTAGTTGGAAAATGTTTATGTAGATTTTGCTTTAGCAAATTTAACAAATCTCTCAAATTTGACGCTTAATTTTCAGTAAAAATACTTTATTTGTTTTGGATTGTGATATTTTTTAATATAAAAACGAAATTAAAACAAAAAAACTCTTTTAATTTGCTTATTAGCTTTTTATTTGATTTATTTTTCTTTATTTTTTTTATTAATATTGTCTTTTTTTTTCTCTATCTTTCTTAATTTATCTCATTTTTATTTTCAACTTTTGCTTTTATTATTTATTTATTTATTTATTTATTTATTCATTTTTTATTATTTCAGATTTTTTCTCCATTTTTCCTTCTAACTAACTAACTAATTAATAACTTCAATATTTAAAAAGTGAAAATATAATATGTTATACTGACATAGGTTATGCTTTAACAAATTGCACTAATCTCAAAAATTTGAAACTTGATCTTAGGTAAAAATAGTTTATTTGTTATTGATTGTGATATTTTTTAATATAAAAATAAAAAGCAATATAACTCTTTTAATTTGTTTATTTGCTTTTTATTTTATTTATTTTTTAATTGTAGTTGTTTTTTTTTCTTCTATGTTTTTTAATTTAATTCATTTTTTTAATTTCAATTTTTTTCTTTTATTATTAATTAATTATTTTCAAATTATTAAAAAATATTCTTTCTTCATTTTTCATCCTAACTAATGAATTATTTATTTATTTTTTCTTTTATATTTAAAAAGTTACAATAATTTAGGAAGTAATGATGTATCAAACATAGGGTCTGCTTTAGAAAATTTAACTAATCTCTCAAAATTGACACTTAATCTTCGGTAAAAATAGTTTATTTATTTTTGATTGTGTTATTTTTTTCATATAAAAATGAATTTAAAACAATAACAAACACTATTTTAATTTGTTTACTAATTTTATATTTTATTTATTTATTTTTCTATTTCTTTTTTATTGTAATTGTCATTTTTTTTCTGGATTTCCTAATTTAGCTAATTTTTCTTTTCAACTTTTGCTTTTATTATTTATTTAATAATTTCTTTTTATTTCATATTTTTTCTTCATTTTTCCTTTTAACTAACAAATTAATAACTTCAACATTTAAAAAGTAACAATAAATTTTATGATGCATCAAAATTAGGCTCTTCTTTAGCAAAATGCACTAATCTCTCAAATTTATCACTTAATCTTAGGTAAAAACAATTTATTTGTTTTGGATTATTATATTTTTTAATATAAAAATGAATTTAGAACAATAAAACTCTTTTTATTTTGTTTTTAGCATTTTATTTTATTTATTTATCTTTTCTTACTTGCGTTTTTTTTTCTTTATTAATTTTTTATTTTCAAATTTTGCTTTTATTTATTAATTTATTTCTTAATATTTAATTTTTTTTTCTTCATTTTTTCCCTTTTTTTCAATGATCAAAAGTGCCACTGAAATTAGTTAATAAGGAGCAATAGAATTAGGTAAAGATTTAGCAAATTGCCATAAACTCTCAAATTTGACCCTTAAACTTCGGTAAAAACAGTATATTTATTTTGGTCTGTCATTTTAATATTATTAAAATGAATTTATAGCAATAAAATTCGTTTAATTTGTTTATTATCTTTTTATTTTATTTATTTATTTTTCTTTTTTATTTTACTTGTTTTTTTTTCCTTTTATCTTTCATAATTAAACTAATATTTTATTTTAAACTTTTGCTTTTTTTCATTAATTAATTTCTTATTAATTCCTTTTTTCTTTATTTTTCCTTCTAACTAACTAATTAATTAATTATCTTCAATATTTCAAAAGTAGTAATGAAATTTTGGACACATGTGCATTAGACTTAGGTTCTGCTTTAGCTAATTGCACTAATCTCTCAAATTTGACACTTGATCTTTAGTAAAAACAGTTTATTTGTTTTGGATTATGATATTTTTATTTATAAAATGAATTTAAAAAAACATAATTCTTTTAATTTGTTTATTAGCTTTTCATTTTATTTATTTTTCTTTTTGGATTTTATTGTACTTGCTTTATTTTCTTCTTAAGTTTAACTCCTATTTTCAATCAAATATTTCTTTTATTATTAATTCATTTATTATTATTTAAACATATTTTTTCTTCATTTTTCCTTTTAACTAAGTAATAAATTATATATTTTTTCTTGGATATTTAAAAAGTAATAATTCAATTTATGACAAAGGTGCATTAGACTTAGTTTCTTCTTTAGCAAATTTAACTAATATCTCGAATTTGACACTTGATCTTCGGTAAAAACAGTTTATTTGTTTTGAATTATGATATCTTTAATATAACATTTGTTTTGAATTATGATATCTTTAATATAAAATGAATTTAAAACAATAAAATTCTTATAATTTGTTTATTTTATTAGCTTTTTATTTTATATATTTTTATTTTTCTTTTTTTTTGTACTATTTTTATTTTAAATATAAATTTTAATTAAAAAAGTTTATTCTATTTAATTTATTTTAATTTAAAGCAATAGTAAAAAATAAATCAATAAGTCATAATAATCATTGAAATTAAAAAGAAAGTGTTTAAAATTAAAAAGATTAGTTGCTTTTAAAATCTAATTCTGATGATAAAAAGTGGTGAAAAAAGAATGAATGAATAAATATTTGAGTAATAGAATATAATATGTTGTTTTAAATAATATTTTGTAATAAGATAATTTAGCCTAAAATATAGAAATATTTATTTTTATATATGAGTATGATACATACATATATGGTAAGTTAATAAATATCTTATTAAATTTAAAAAAATTTGTAAAAATTATTTATTTAAATGACTAGAATTTTTCTACATTTGACTCTACATCTCTAATTTCTACTATATTTTTAATTATGCATTTTAAATAGAAAAATTAAGATTAAATAATGAATGTTACACTAAATTTTTGTGATTTCTATTACGAAAAGCAAATTTATAAATTCATATAATTTATTTGTTCTTTTTATTGATCCACTTATAATTATTTAATTTTAATTAATTAATTACTTACTATTCAATATTTTTGAAAAAACAAATAAATGATATAATAGATTAAATATTACGAAGAATTATAAGAAGTAATTATTTATTTTTTTATCAATATAATTTAAATTTACTATTATTAATATTAAAAGTTTTTAAACTCTTCATTCTAATCTCATGAGGTCCTCCATATTAATTTGAGGTTATTTAATTTATTAATATTATTATTATTTTTAATATTTTGAATATATTTATTTTTCAATTTATTTATAATATTACTTTTCTAATAGAATTCATCTATATTCATCAATTTATTTTTATTAAAGCAATTATTTCTGCAGTTATTTATTTATTTTCACTTATTTTTCGTTTTCAATTTTTAGTATACATCATCCATTTTTTATTGTTTGATATCTTTTATTTATTTTTTTCCTTCTAACACTTTTACTTAATAAAATAAGTTTATTTGTTTTTGATTGTGACTTATTAAGTTAGTTATAAAAATGAATTTAAAACAATAAAACTCTTTTAATTATATAGCTTTTTACTTGATTCATTTCTCTTTTTATTATTTATTATACTTTTTGTTTTTTTTCTATTTTTCTTAATTTAATTCATTTTTTTATTTTTAAATTAATTCATTTCTTATTATTTCATTTTTCTTATAACTAATGATATATTTTTTCTTCAATATTTCAAAAGTAATCATTAAATTTACAACGAAGGTGTATCAGGCTTAGGTATTGCCTTAGCAAATTGCAATAATCTCTCAAATTTGACACTTGATCTTCAGTAAAAACAGTTTTTTTGTTTTAAATTATGATATTTATAAACATAAAAATGAATTTAAAACAATATAACTTTTTTAATTTGTTTATTAATTAGCTTTTTATTTGATTTATTTTTCTTTTTTATTTGAAAATGTACTTGTTCTTTTTTTTTTATCCTATCTTTCTTATTTTAACTCATGTTTTTATATACAAATTTTTTATTATTATCAATTAATTTCCTATTATTTCTTATTTTTTCATCATTTTTCATTCTAATTAACTAACTAAATAATATAAATTGTATATTTTTTCTACAAATTTAAAAAGTTAAAATAAAATTAGTGATACTGGTACATCTGAAATAGGTTCTGGCTTAGGAAAGTGCACTAATCTCTCAAATTTGACACTTGATCTTAGGTAAAAATAGTTTATTTGTTATAGATTGTGATATTCTATTATATAAAAATAAATAGTAATATAACTCTTTTGGTTTGTTTTTAAGCTTTTTATTTTGTTTATTTTTTTTTGGTATTGTGTTTTTTTTCTTCTTTCTTTCTTTCTTTCTTTCTTTCTTTCTTTCTTTCTTAATTTAGCTCATTTATTTTTTATATTTTAAACCTTTTCTTTTATTATTAATCAATGCATTTCATATTATTATAACATATTTTTCTTCATTTTTCATTCTAAATAACTAACTAACTAATTAATTTATTATTGATATTTTCATTCATACTTAAAAAGTTACAATTTATTAGATGAAACTTGTATATCATAATTAAGTTCAGCTTTAGCAAATTTAACTAATCTTTCAAATTTGACATTTAATATTCGGTAAAAACAGTTTATTTGTTTTGGATTGAGATCTATTTTAATATAAAAATGTATTTAAACAATAAAACAATTTGATTTGATTTATTCTCTTTATCTTTTTTATTGTAATTTTCTTTTTTTAACTAATTAATTAATAACTTCAATATTTAAAAAGTCAAAATTATATTGGAGCAATTGGTATATCAGGTTTAGGTTTAGCTATAGCAAATTGTATTAATCTCTCAAATTTGTCACTTAATCTTAGGTAAAAATAGTTTATTTGTTTTGGATTGTGATATTTTTTAATATAAAAAGAATTTAAAAAAATAAAACTCTGTTTGTTAAGTTGTTTATTTATTAACTTTTTATTTTATTTATTTTTTTCTTTTTAGTACTTGTGTTTTTTTTCTCTTCTATTTTTATCAATTTATTTATTTAATTCATTTTTTTGTTTTAAAATTTTGTTTTATTATTATGAGTTAATTCTTTCTTAATATTTCATATTTTTTCTTCATTTTTTCCTTTTTCTTCAATATTTCAAAAGTCTCACTTACATTGGTGAAAAAGGTGCACCAGGATTAGGTTTAGGTTTAGCAAATTGCACTAATCTCTCAAATTTAACCCTTGGTCTTCGGTAAAAGCAGTATTTGTTTTAAATTGAAATGAATCTTTTAATTTCTTTACTAGCTTTTTATTTTATTTATTATTTATCTTTCTTTCTTTTTGTAGATGTGTGCGTGTTTTTTTCTTCTTCTATCTTTCTAAATTTAACTCATAATATATTTCAGTTTTTAATTTTATTATTAATTAATTCATTTTTTATTATTTCATATTTTTGTTCATTTTTCTTTCTTTCTAACAAATTCATTTTTATTATTTCTTCAATATTTAAAAAGTTAGAATAAAATAGGTGCAATAGGTGCATCAGAATTAGGCTCTGCTTTAGCAAATTGCTCTAATCTCTCAAATTTGGCACTTGATTTTTAGTAAAAATTGTTTATTTGTTTGTTTCTATGTTAATTTAAAACAATATAACTATCCAGCCCTTTTAATTTGTTTATTAGATTTTTATTTGATTTGATTTTTTTCTTTTTATTTTACTTTTTTTCATCTTTCTTAATTTAACTATTTTTTTTATTTTCAACTTTTGTTTTATTTTTAATTTATTCATTTCTTATTTTTAAAACATTTTTTCTTCATTTTTCCTTTTAACTAACTAATTCATTGAAAATATTTTCTTCAATGTTTAAAAAGTTTCAATTAAATTGGTGACAAAGGTGTATCAGGCTTAGGTTCTGGTTTAGGAAATTGCACTAAACTCTCAAATTTGAAACTTAATCTTTAGTAAAAACAGTTTATTTGTAATTGATTGTGATATTTTCATTTATAAAATGAATTTATAACAATATAACTATATTAACTTTCTTGTTAATTTTCTTTTTATTTTGTTTATTTTTTCTTTTTAATTTTTATTGGGCTTATTTTTTTTTTCATGTTTAACTTATTTTTTATTTTAAAATATTGCTTTTTTTATTATTAATAAAAGCATTACTTATTATTTCTTCATTTTTCTTCATTTTTCCTTCTAAGTAACTAATTAATTATATATTTTTTCTTCAATATTTAAAAAGTTGGAATTTTATTGGTGAAATTGGTGTATCAGGCTTAGGTTCTTCTTTAGCAAATTTAACCAATCTCTCTAATTTGTATCTTGATCTTACGTAAAAATTTATTTGCTTTGAATTATATATTTTTTAATATAAAAGTGAAATTAAAACAATAAAACTCTTTTAAATTTTTTATTTGATTTATTTTTATTATTATTTTCTTTTTAAATATAAATTTTAATTTAAAAATTTTATTCTATTTAATTTATTTAAATAATTTATTCTATTTATAATAATAGTTATAACTAAATCTAAAACTCATAATAATAATTAAAATTAAAAAGCAAGTTTTTAAAATTAAAAAGATTAGTTATTTTTGAAATAAAATTCTGAGGATAAAAAGTGGTGATAAAAGGAAGAATAAATAAATTAAATATTTGAATAATAGAATATAATATGTTTTATTATTTTTATAATATTTTGTAATAAGATAATTTAACTTAAAATTTAAAAACAAAGACTAATTATTATTTTTATATAATCTGAAATTATTATCATGGTATTATTTATTTTTTTATATATTTATCTATCTATTATATTACTTCTAATATCATTTTTTAAATAGAAATTTTCATTAAAGATTTTACAGAAGAAAAATATATATTTTGTATTTTTCTAATGAATATTTAGAATAAAACATAAAAGCATAATTTGACAACATTTCAATATTATTTGTTTTTAAAATCTAATTTTTAAATTTGTAAATCAAACAGATTATATGCTAACTAATCTCTTTCCTTTCATACATCTTTTTTTTACTTTTAATCTCGACTTTTCTGGAATTTGATAATAGCTTTTAATAAATAATTTTATTAGATAAAATAAAAATAAAATGAAATAGATCAAAAATTAAATAAATCAACCAATAAAGAATGCTTGAATAATTAAATAAAAACTATTAAAAAATAAATAAAATTGTAGAATCATAATAGGAAAAGATATTTTTTTAAAATCATATTATTAATAATAAATTTAAAAGCTTTATTAATTGCTTTTACCCCAAATCAATTTTCAATGTGAATAGTTTTTTACAGCAAGCTAGTTAATTACCTATACAAAATACTCCTTCCTCCTTCATTAAGTTACTACTATTATATGTATTAAGTATTAATTTATTAAGTAAACTAATACAAAAATCCTAAAAAATTTAAATAATAAAAAAAAAATCAAAAAATCAAAAAAAGATAATAATTAATGAAAAATCTGCATTTTATTTTTATATTTACTTAATAAAGAAACAAATAAATTATTTTTACGCCAAGTTAAGTTTCAAATTAATGATCTAAGAACAATTAACTAAAGCTTAAGTTAAATTTGATGCTCCTTGATTGCAAATATAATTGTGACTTTTTATTTATAATATTCATTTGTTTAATAAAAGACAAATTAAAAAGTAAAGAAAATTTCCTAAATAATTATTTAGTTAAAAATAAGGTCAAAAAAACAAATATTTAAAGAAAAAAAATGTTAATTACTTTATAAAAAATGAATTAAACAAGCGAATAAACAAATAATATATACCTACAATTAAGATCCAAAATTTAGAGTTTACTGCAATTTACTAAGGCAGAGCCGATTGCTGAAATAGCATCATATTTATTAGAATTCCAGCTATTTATTATGCATTTATTTTTTATTTAAAAAGAAAATTATTAAAATAATTAAAATTTTTGCTCTAAATCTAAATTATTTTTATTAAATTTTATTTTTAAAACCTACTCATTTATAATTCTTAAAAAAAAACTATATTCTCCATATTTAAATCATTTCTTTTAAAAAACTAAATATTAGGAAAATTTAACTCTATCAAAATAACCATAATCAAGAATGAGAGAAAGAAAGAATGAAATAAATAAATAAAAAAGAAAAAATGAAAGAAATAAATAAATAAATAAATTAAGAAATAAAAAATGAAAGTAAGAAAAAAAAATAAATTAAGAATGAAAGAATGAAATAAATAAAAAAGAAAAAATGAAAGAAAGAAAGAAATTAAGAATGAAAAAATGAAAGAAAGAATGAAATAAATAAAAAAGAAAAAATAAAAGTAAGAAAGAAAGAAATAAATTAAGAAAGAAAAAATGAAACTAAGAAAGAAAGAAATAAATTAAGAATGAAAAAATGAAAGAAAGTAAGTAAGAAAGAAAGGATTTTGACATAGCTTAGATGTAATAATTTAGTAAATAATTAATTTTGATTTAAGATTAATTTTATAAAATTTGGAAAATGAATAAATAAATTAATGAATTAAAATGAATGTAAATAATTAAATCTAATTTTAACAAATCTATTATTTTCTTTTGGTAATTATTTAGAGCTGTTAAATTTGTAAAATATTGTATTTAGAAACTCATTATTATATTTTTAAATTACAAATTTCATTTTGTTTAAGAATTTTTTATTAAATTATTAATTGATTTCAAAATAAATAAATGTTTTAGCTATTTTTACCTAATGTCAAGAGATAAATTTGAGAGCAATTTCATTTACTCTAATGAAGAACTTAAATCTTATGATCCCTTATTACCTAGGGAGTTGTAGCTATTAAAATAAACAATAAATATTGTACAAAAATTTTAATTCACAATATTAAAACTCAAAAGATTTTTAAATATATTTAATAGAAATTAAATTATTAATTTTTTACCTAAAATCGAGCTTTAAAGTATTGAGATTGGCACAATTCACTAAAGCAGAACCTATGCTTGAAACTCCTTTGTCGCTCAATTCATTTCTTCTTTTTATGTTTGTTTAAAATCAATAAGTTTATAAGAATAAATAATATGAAATTAAAAAACTAACTATTTGATGTTTGAAAAATTAATTGCTTTATCTTTATGTTATGTATGTATGAAAATAAATTTCAATGAAATCTAGACAAAAAAAATATATAATTTTTTCTACTTAAAGATTAGTGTCAAATCTTAAAGCTTGGTCAATTTCGAAATAGAAGAGCTTAAAATTTCTGCACCAGATCCATTTATTTAATTATCGCTTTTAAAATTTTAAATATAAATTTTTAAGATAGTGTTCATAAAGAATGAAAATCAATTTATTTTTTGAGATTTTTTTCAAAAATAAATTTAATAAAAATAAAAAATCATTTTTTATTTATGATTAAATTCGCTTTAAATAACAAATGAATTAAATATAAAAAAAGTATTTACCTAAAATCAATTTCTAAAGTTATGAAATTAGAGCAGTTTGATAAAGCAAAACTTAAATTTGAAAGACTTTAATCAACTATTTTATTGTTACTATTTATTTATTTAAGAAGAATATTTTAATTTTAATATTATAATTAATATATATATATATATTGCAGAGCTAAAAGTAATGGATCAATTCATATTTTTTAAATAGAAGGTTTTCAAAATATTTTAAATATTTTTAATTATATTCCCATAAAAATTAAATAACAGATTAAACTTCAATAACTTATTATATATTTTATTAATATAAAATGTAATAAAAAGTTTAATAAATTTGAAATATTTTAACATGATTTGAATTTAATTTAAACTTATTTAAGGAAATGATTTACATTTTAAAGTAAATAAAAAAATATAATTAATTCTAAAAGATAATCAAAATAGAGTAATTTTATATTTATTTTTACCTAAGGTTTATTTTCAAATTAGTAAGTTGATTGCAGTTTGATAAATCAGAAAATAAAATTTGAATACAATCTTCAGTTAAATTGCTTTCACTTTTATATATTATGAAGGATAAATATTTTGAATCTAAATTAGAAATATAATTTTTAAAGGAAAAGTAAATTTTAATCTGAAATTTAAATAAAAAAATATAAAAAAGAGCTCAAAAAAAGCTTGCAAATAGTTTGATTTCATATTTCATATTTTTTTTACTAAGCAAGTATGCAAAAAATAAATAAGCAATTTTATAAAAAAATAAATTTTTTACTCAAGATTAAGTTTGAATGATTAAAGCTTATTGTAAGTTTTTAGAGTTGTGCCTAAATCTTATAAATTCTTATAGTCAACTTTACTTGAGCTAGATAAAAATAAAATTCATAAATATCTAAAATGAAAAATTAAATTTTAAAGCAAAGAATTTGAAAAGGTAAATTATTTTTTTATGAAAAAAGAAAGCAATTGCTTAATCAAATATTTACAACAAAAATTATAGAAAATAGAAAACAAATAATTTATTTAATACATCAGATTTAGTTCTAAAGTGGAAAGATTTGAACATTTAGATAAACCATGAAAGAAAACTGATATAGATTCTGTATCCAATACTTTACTCCTAATAGTATTTTAAATATTTATTTGCTATTTAACATAATCAAATATACAATAAAGCAAAGATATTTTAACAATAAATCAAAAGCAAATTTATCAATAAAAATATAAATTTATATAAATAAATATTTAAAAAGCAAAATAATAGAAGATATTTAAAGATAAATTTATGCATTTACTATAACGAAAGAGCCAAAATATCGAGGTTAGAACAATTTTCTAAAACAGAACCTAGATTTGATGCAAATAGTATTCCAATTTAATTATATCTTATTTATTTATATTAATTAGAAATTTATTAAAAAATACTTCGGATAATTTTTTAATATAAAATTAATCTATGAAAATTTTTTAACAAATCATTTAAAATTTTAATATAAATTTATAAATAAATTTTACTCAAGATTAAGCAATAAAGTGTGAAGCTCCTTGCAAAATTTAAGATGAGTTAGTAGCTCTGCGGCACCTGAATCACTAAGTGAGTTTTCTCTTTTATTTTTGTTAAAATATAAAATACAAAGTAATTAAAAAATGTAAAATTTGTGCGATTATTAAGCAAACTTGCTATCTAAAAGTAAAATAAATAAAATATTTGTTAAATAAAAGCATTGAACAAATTCTTAAAGAATAAGTAAATCGGTAATTTGTACTAAAGGTCTAGTTTCAAAACTTAGAGATGAGTTAAAGCTTTTAAAGCGGTAATTAAACTTAAGGCACCTTGGTCATTGATTTCATTGCCTCTTTTAAAGAATTTAAATACAATTTTATAAAAAAGATGAACAAAAAATAGAAAAAAATGGGCTAAATAAATAATTGAGTTTTAAAAAATATTAGACAGAATATAAAAAACTTTTCTTGGAGCAAAATATCATGAATATCTTTTATAAATAAGCTAAATTTACTTAAGTTCTAGTGTTAAATCAGATAATTAAGAGAGGTTTAATAAAGCGGAGCCTAAATGTTATGCACCCTGAGGATATATTAAATTGTAGCTTTTTAAATATTTAAAATTAATTTATTAATTAATTAACATAAAAATAAATAAAAATATTTATAATAGTAAGATATAAGATAGGTACGTGATCTTCAATAACATTATTCAATATTAAAAGAATTTTTAATTAAAATTAAAAATTTGTAAAAATAATTATTTTCATTCTCTTTTTTTGAATGAAATTTTTCTACTTTTGAATAATTTAATTTATTTATTTATTGTTTTTTATATTTGTAATCAATCAATCATAAGTATACTTTCATTCAGTTTTCATTCAATATTACAAAAAAATTTTATATTTCTTTTAAAAGAAAAGCTTTTATTAACTATTTATTTTAAATAAAGAGAGTTGTTTGATAAAATAATTTTTAATAAATAATAATAATTTTTTTTTTGTTTAATAGCATCGGTGTTATTTAAAATTTTAATGTCAACTCTAAAAAAATAAATTAATCGTGATTATGAATTTTAAACTAATTGTCTAAATTTAGCAAAAATATTTATTAATTCTGAGAAAAATCTTAATAAAGATATAAAAAATTAAGCAAGAATAATTTATTTATTTATATCTAATTACTTTAGGTTGATTTTCAAAATCTAATTAAAATTAAAAATTTGTAAAAATAATTATTTTCATTCTCTTTTTTTGAATGAAATTTTTCTACTTTTGAATAATTTAATTTATTTATTGCTTTTTATATTTGTAATAAATCATAAGTATACTTTCATTCAGTTTTCATTCAATATTACAAAAAAAATTTTGTATTTCTTTGAAAAGAAAAGTTTTTATTAACTATTTTAAATAAAGAAAAGAGTTGTTTGATAAGATAATTTATTTTTAATAAATAATAATTATTTTTTTTTATTCAATAGCATCGGTGTTATTTAAAATTTTAATGTCAACTCCAAAAAATAAATTCATTGTAATTATGAATTTTAAACTAATTGTCTAAATTTAGCAAAAATATTTATTAATTCTGAGAAAAATCTTAATAAAGATATAAAAAATTAAGCAAGGATAATTTATTTATATCTAATTACTTTAGGTTGATTTTCAAAATCTACAGATTAGTAAAATTTTATAAGGATTAGCCTATTCTCAATGCGTCATTAGCCCTTTGTTGACAGTATCTGTGTAAATAAAAAAATAATAATAATTTTAGCTAGCCATAAAAAACAAATGTCAATAAATGATAATAAATATTTAAAGATGTAAACAAAGAAAAGTAAAAATATAAATTTTAAAATTAAATGAAAATGAAAATAAAAAAAGGAAATCAAATAATTTGTTTTTTAATATTGAAATAATTCATAAGAAAAAGTAAAATATTATTAACAATAATTTATTTTTTCAAACAAACTAAAAAATATTTAAATTTTATTGGCTTATTAAAAAATTAAAGCTTTTTAAAAATAAATAAATAAAATTGTAATAATAAATTAAATTATTTTTTAATTAATGGTTGATACCTTAGATTAATATCTAGATGAGTTTGTTAAGTTTAAGAATACTTTAGAAACTTTTAGTGCAATAAAAGTAAAATTTCAAAATCAATAATTTGTTTTAGTTGTTTGTTACTTATTCTAAGTTTTCAAAATACTTTTTATGATTGATCATATTTATTTTTATTATTTTATTTATTAAATTTTTAAATAAATTAATTAACTTTGTAAAATTTTTATCAAATAATTATTTAAATTCGTTAATCCAAATTAAAAAGAAATTACATTTATTGTAAAATGAAATATCTTAGAAATAAAACATTTTTATTAATATTGTAAATTCTCATAAATTTCCCTAAAATTCTGTCAAAATACTTAAATGAAAAAAATTTATTTAAGAATTTTCATTTTCAAAAAAGTTCAAAATAAATTTATTCACTATAAAAAATTTTTTTACTTTAAAAATCTGTATTATAATTAATTTTCTTAGCCTTTTAAAAATAAATATAAAGAAAATAATTAAGCTGTAAAACAAAAAAATGTAATCAAAAATTTAATAATCTGGAAGCAACTATATTTATTAGAGTTTATCAAATCATATATTATTATAAATATATCAAAATTATTTATTTTTAAATAATAATTTACAAATCAGCTTAAATACCTACCTACCTTATCCTTTTAGAAAATTAATGAATATCTTAATATATTTAATAATAGTAAATATGGTTGAATATACTCATAATATATATATTAGTCTTACTCACGTGCAGTTCAAAAATAGTGGATAATGTTTTTAAATTAGGTAATATGTTCAAATAATAAACAAAAAAGGTTGTCGACACTGGGACTTCCCAAGCGGTCCCCCACCTTAGTACTAACCCAGCCTTAAGGCGCTTAACTTCGGAGTTCGAATGGGATCCGGTGTTTTCACCTTAGTATGGCCGACAACAAAATTAATATTCAAATTATTTATAAATATAAAACTTTTTTCATTAATTTAATTTTGTAAAATAAAATAATTTTGAACAGCAATTTGAATTTTTAAATCGAATGTCTAAAGCAATAATTTAATGAAACTTATTAACTACGGAAATGCTTTTTTTAATAAAAATTATTTAAAAGAAAACTAAAATAAGTAAATATTTTATATTAGAAATAAATATTGATTGATATTTTTAGATTTAAAATTAGTAACAAAAATAAAATATGCAAAATAAATATTAATAAAAAGAGATAAATTTTAAAAGCTTAAAGCAAGAGGTTTTAAATAGTTATTAATTTGTTTTATTTATTATTTTTATAATTTATTAAGAACCAATCAATCATTGTTATTTTTTAGGCTGCAACTTTTCTAGTCTCCACTAATTTTTTTGGATTAGCTGCAAAGATAGGATTTTCTTATGCATAAAGAATAAGTAAATTAAAGAATATGTTAGAAATTTTAATTTTTAAATTGAATTCGTTAATAAACAATAATTTAATGAGATAATTAAATTAAAATTTAATGAAAGCTTTTTAACTATGGAAATATTTCTTAATAAAAATTATTTAAAAGAAAACTAAAATAAGTAAATATTTTAGAATAGAAATAAATATTGATTGATATTTTTAGATTTAAAAGTATTAACAAAATAAAATATGCAAAATAAATATTAATAAAAAGAGATAAATTTTTAAAACTTAAAGCAAGAGGTTTTAAATATTTATTAATTTGTTTTATTTATTATTTGTATAATTTATTAAGAACCAATCAATCATTGTTGTTTTTTAGGCTGCAACTTTTCTAGTTTCCACTAATTTTTTTGGATTAGCTGCAAAGATAGGATTTTCTTATGCATAAAGAATAAGTAAAGTAAAGAATATGTTAGAAATTTTAATTTTTAAATTGAATTCGTTTATAAACAATAATTTAATGAAAGCTTTTTAACTATGGAAATACTTCTTAATAAAAATTATTTAAAAGAAAAATAAAATAAGTAAATATTTTAGAATAGAAATAAATATTGATTGATATTTTTAGATTTAAAAGTATTAACAAAAATAAATATTAATAAAAAGAGATAAGTTTTAAAAGCTTAAAGCAAGAGGTTTTAAATAGTTATTAATTTGTTTTATTTATTATTTGTATAATTTATTAAGAACCAATCAATCATTGTTGTTTTTTAGGCTGCAACTTTTCTAGTCTCCACTAATTTTTTGGGATTAACTGCTAAGAGAGGATTTTCTTATGCATAAAGAATAAGTAGAGTAAGGAATATGTTAGTCCTATGAAAACAACTTAGGTAAATGATAGGTAGCTTAGAGCAACAAGGGCAATTTGTTCACTGAATTAACCTCCGAGGTTACTGAAACTGTTTAATGTTGTTAAGCTGCTTCCGCCAACGTCTTCGTCAGAAATTCTGTTAAAGAATCCTCCTTGAGCTATAAATTTAAATGTACTTACGAATATGACTAAGATTTAGAAGATCAAAACTAAAATAAACATTTGCTTGTTTTGAGATTCATCGATTACAGGATTTAATATTATAATTGCATAGCCTATTAAAGCAACAACTATTTAGATGACAAACGCATTTCTCCATGCATTCATTTCTTTGCTTGGACGAATTAATTTACTTGAAAGAATTGCTGCTATAAAATTGAAAGGAATTATTATTGTACTAATAGTAGAAATAATTTCTTTAGATAAACCTTGTCTGACAAGCAAAACAGTAAAAGAAGCAAAAACAGGCGAATTACCAATGTTTTAACTCAACATAAAGATTATTAAGAATCTAAGGTTTTTATTAGTAAAGAATCCTCTCAATTTTTTGATCACATCAATAACGCTATCAATTTATTCTTATTATTGTTCGCTTGTTTCTTCATTTGCTAATTTAGAGTTTTTATTTTAATCATTGACTTTTTCAATTTCTTATTTATCAGATTTTTCTCTTTCTTGAACAAAGAAATGAACGAAAACAGTAACTACAGCTATTATTGCAGAAATAATTTGAAGGAATTGTTTAGTTGTGACTAAAGGCTTATCGCTTGGAGTAGAATACAAAAATTTATTACAGAATTCTACACTGTTGATTTAAATAAAGAATGAGTTGGTGATTAAAACACCAAGGAGTTGTCCAATTGTATTGCAAGTTGATCCAATGTTAACATGCTCTTCATTTTCGAAAATAGTTAAGACCCAACCATCCACAGCAATATCTTATTGAGACGAGAGAAAAATTGCAATAAATCCAAAAATAATCAATGAACTAATTTCTTAATTTTTGAGTAAATCATCGATGCTCAAGCTAACTACAAAAAATAAAATAGCCATCAAATACTAAATAGGAATGATGTAAGATTTGCGTTTGCCAAAAGACTTGAAATAGTGAGCATCCTAAAAAGGAGCAAATAGAAATTTAAAAGTAAAAGGATAAAGAACAACTGATAATTCTGCTAATTTAGTCATAGAAATGCCTGCCTCTGTTAATAGTAATTATACTGCTCCACCAAAAAACCCAATAGGGAACCCTTAAATTGTGTAAAGAATCAACAAAAGCAATATCCCTTTCTTCTCTTTACTTGTTAAAGGCTAAGGCTTTTTCTCATGCTGATCTACCTATTTGATATGATGAAACTTATGATATTCAGATTCTGAATGAGGATCCATAAAATAACTAACTAACTAACTATCTTTGTTTATATCTAAATTAATACTTTTTTAAGATTAGTAATAAACCTATTAATATTTTTTTGAATATATATCTTTTGTCTTTATTTTTAAATAATCAAAAACAATATGACAAATCTTAAAAACCAAATTTAAAATCACTGACTAACTCAACATTTATTGTGTGGCATAATGAATTAATTAAAATACACAAATTAATTAAAACACGTTTTATATTTTTTTTATACAATTTTTTTTGCAAAAATGTTTGATTATTTATTGTTAAATACTAAATGCTTATTGTGATTTGTTGTCTAATAATTATATATACTTAATATAGCGTCATTCAAATAATTATTTTTTATTTATATTTCTTAAAATTAGTTTTTATAATCTATATTTTAAATATTATATAAATTGGTATAAAAGCTCTTATTTAGTGCACGTAAACTTTATATATACATAAATAATATCTACTTGCAAATAAAACTAATCAGAAAAATCTATAAATAAAAAATAATTTTATTAAATTTAAATTGTTTAATTTATTACTAGAATTTATTATTACCGATTCTTTAATACTTACGATATTTTTAAATTTATATTTTAATTAGAAAAATTAAGATTTAATAATGAAATGTTAAATTAACTTTTTTGTGATATCTTTTCATAAATTTATTTTGAAAATTATTAAAATTTATTTGTTCTTTTTATCCAAGTTAATTTGAAATAATAGTAAATTAATTTTTTAATACAATTATAATATTTTAAATTTCCATAAATTGCTATTAAATATTTTTGAAAAAATAATAAATAAATAAAAAAATGAAATAATAGAAAAAATATTTTAACAAAATAGAACAAGTAAATATTTATTTTTTTATTAATATAGTTTAAATTTATTTTTTATAATAAAAAAAGTTTTTAAACTCTTCACTTTAATCAGATTAGGTTCTCCATATTGATCTGAGGAGGTAAAATTTATTTATTAATATTCTTATTATTAACGCGTTTTTTAGATTTAATTTTCAAGTTATTAACAATATTATTTTTCTAATAGAAATTATAAACAAAATTCATTCATTTTTATTAATATATAAATATTTTTTAATTATTTTTACTAAATCTCTACTCAATTTTTCTTTTGATAATTATTATTATTAATTTTTTATGATTTAACATTTTTTCTTGGTTCCTTCAAAATAACTAATTAACACTTTATTTTTTATTCAATATTTAAAAAGTGGCAATAAAATTGGTGAATAAGGTGCTTAAGGTTTAGGTTCTGCTTTAGCAAAATGCCTTAATCTATCAAACTTGATACTTTAACTTAAGTAAAGCATTTTATTTATCTTGGATTATGATATTTTTTAATCTAAAAAATGAATTCAAAACAAAAAAACTTTTTAGTTTATTAATAACTCTCTATTTGATTTATTTTTTATTCTTCTTTTTATTTGTTTGTTAATTTAACTCATTTTTTCTTTACTTTTTATTCATTTTTTCCTTCTAAGTTACAATTTAACTTTATATTCTATATTTAAAAAGTGACAATAAAATTGGTGCAACAGGTGCATCAGGTTTAGGTTCTGGTTTAGCAAATTGCACTAATCTCTCAAATTTGTCAATTTCTCTTAAGTAAACACTTTTTAGCTGCTTATTTAATTTACTATTCTTTTTTTATTCTGCTGTGTTTTAGCTTTCTTTTCTTTGTTAATTTAACTAAACTCATTTTTTAATTTTTTATTAATTTATTAATTTCTTATTATTTCATATATTTTTCTTCATTTTTCCTTTCATATATCATATTAATTAACTTTATATTTTTTCTTCAATATTTAAAAGTGGAAATTAAATAGGCCCTATTGGTGCATCAGGTTTAGGTTCTGATTTAGGAAAGTGTAAGAATCTCTCAAATTTGACACTTAACCTTTTGTAAAAATAATTTATTTGTTTTCGATTGAGATATTTTTTAAATATAAAAATTAATTTATAACTATAAATAATTTATTTATTTATTATCCTTTTATTTGATTTATTTTTTATAATGATCCTGTTTTTTTTCTTACTTTCTTTGTTAATTTTATTTAATTTATTTTTTATTTTTAATTTTTGCTTTTATTTAATTTATTTCTTATAATTCATATTTTATCTTCCTTTTTCCTTCTAAATATCTAATTAAAGATACATTTTTTTTAATATTTAAAAAGTGGCTGTTAAATTGGTGAAATAGGTGCATAAGGTGTAGGCTCTGGTTTAGGAAAGTGCACTAATCTCTCAAATTTGACACTTATTCTAGCGTAAAAAAAGCTGTTTATTGTTTATTTGTTTAGATAGTGATATTTATTATTTTTACATAAAAATGAATTAAAAAAAAATTAGCTATTTTAATTAATTTTTTACCTTTTTATTTGATTTATTTTTTATTTTTTTTATTCTGTGCAAATATTTTTTAAATATTTATTTTTTAAATTAACTGATTTTATTATTTATTTTCAACTTTTTATTTAATTCATTTTTTCCTTCAACAACTACTAACTACTTCAATATTTAAAAAGGTCTAATTAAATTGGTGATGAAGGAATATCAGAATTAGGTTCTGATTTAGGAAAATGCACTAATCTCTCAAATTTGACACTTTTTCTTAGGTAAAATGAGTTTATTTATTTTAGATTGTGCCATTTTTTCATTTTTAACTTTTAATTTTATTATTAATTCGTATTTTTTCTTCATTTTTTTCTTTTAACTTATAAATTAACTATATTTTTTTTCTTCAAAATTTAAAAAGGTCTAATTCATTTGGTCATTAAGGTGCATCAGGTTTAGGTTTTGGCTTAGGAAAATGCACTAATCTCTAAAATTTGACACTTGATCTTTAGTAAATATATTGGATTTTGATATTTCTTCATATAAAAATGAATTTAACGCAAAATAACTCCTTATATTTATTTATTTATTAACTTTATTTATTTTTCTTATATTTTTTTCTGCTTTTGTTAATTTAACTCGTTTATTATTTTCAAGTGTTAATTTTGTTAATTAATTTATTTCTTATCTTTTCATATTTTTTCTTCATGTTTTCCTTCTAAATAACTAACTAACTAACCGTATATTCTTTGTTCAATATTTAAAAAGTGGTAGTAGCAAAAAAATTGGTGATGAAGGGGCATCAGGCTTAGGTTTTGGTTTAGGAGAGTGTAGTAATCTCTAAAATTTGAAACTTGAGCTTAGGTAAAACAGTTTATCTGTTTTGGATTGTGCTGTTTTTAATATAAAAATGAATTTAAAGCAAAATAACTCTTTTAATATATTTATTTATTTGATTTATTTTTTCTTTCTTTGCTAATTTAACTCATTTTTTCATTTATTTTTGGCTTATA